AGGGGAGCAGTCTGGGTCCTGTCTAATACAATATTTGCTCCTTCAAGGCGCTTTTCGTTGCTTATGCAAGCATAAGCATTGGGAAGAATTTGGAATATTCTGAAGAAGGAAATGCAGAATGGGTACAGATTTACAGACAAAAAGGAAAGTTTTAGTTTTCAGAGGATTCTGAATTAATCCTCTATTTTATACAACAGACAACCAATTCTTCAGACCCTCTGATGCACTGCCCATAGAGTTATTATCTGTTTTCAAGAACGAAGCAATATTCACACTGCTATGGTGACCTGCTTTGTCAACAGACAGAATTACTAGACAAAAAACTTCTCTTGAATTAATCTAGAGGAGAAAATGATCGGAAAAAGAACAACCATTCTTCATTAAAGCATTTAAAGACTGCTGCAAAAATTCTTACTCTGACCTCTAAAAACAGAATTATGCCTGCAGTCAAAAATCTCAAATAAATAAAGATAATGGCAGATAAGAATAGGAAGTAGAAACTTTCAACCTTTAAGAAGGGTATTAGTAGTGAAATTAAAATGGAGTAGGTCAAACTATTAAAATACAACTCAAGGCTTCTGACAATATTTTTTTCCATCCAGATACATTTCTCTTGCCTTTCCTAGGTCATTAAATACATAAGGTAAAATAACCCACTATAATAACTTGGGCCACAAAAGTATTGAAATCAGCTTTTAAATAGGACTTTTTCAAACAAAGTAAATAATTTTAGTACTTCACATATTACTGTGTTGGGTAACTGTGCCTCAAAGTGCTCATAACTTAATGGAGCAGTAAGAGCTTGTGCTCCAAAACACATAGTATCAATGAAACAACTGCTGGAAAAAGATCCAAGGTGAAGTGCTATACAAGTAACAGCCACCTCCAGAACTGATCCTTTGCTATGTTTGGCAATAGCCTTACCATTCTGCTGGCACCCAGTCACCTCTGGGTGTCAGGCAACAGTGGTTTATGAGATGCAGAGTCAGTTCACCCCATGCAGAAAGTCTGTGATACCTTTGCAACTCCTTCAGTGCCCTGCACAAAATCTGGTGCTGCAGAGCACCCACAGTGCACCTCAGTTTTTGGAGAAGACAGCACTAGTAAATCCTTAAAACAACAGTAGTTGCTTCTCACCATTGATTTCCCTGGTTAACACTCCATTATTTTGACAAATACTTGGTTGAGGGAAAAGAGAAGACAACATACCAGCGACTAGTACATACAGGCATATTCTACCCAGAAATACAAAATAGGTTTCTACAGAGACAAGATCTTATAGTAGCTGCATTTGATATCACTGCTACCCACAACAAGGACCTTGGATTTGGCTTTTTTTTTAAAAAAAAAGCACTTGCTCTACAATTCTTTTGTACAAATGGCTAGCTTAACTAGGAGCTTTCTGTCCACACTAAAGAAATTGTAATAGTTTTCTTTAAGTATATTCCAACTGGTGTATCTTTTACTAACTGCAGTATTGTTCTAGCAACTTACACCTCCGTATGATATAGACTACCTAATATAAAAAGAATAGACTCCAGAAAAGCTGTCCAAACACTAAAGCCACTGCAGTAACTTATCTATATCACCATTTCTCGCATGCCATGGTAATAGACCTCTCAAAAATACCTTAGATAGCCAGAAATTTTGAACATCTCACTTGCAGCAGGTTTTCATGGTTGTTTGCCTTTGGTCAGATAAGATACTCTCAGCAACCACTGCACTGCACTTTTCCAACAAGGTGAATGCACACACTCTGACTCCCTTTTACAGCCACCTTGATGTTGATTTGCGCATTCAGTTCAAGCAGACTACTACATTTTTTAAAACTCAAGTGTCCAAAACCACAGGACCCTGGCAAGCTAGTTAGCTTGTCATGACTGTTTCTTATCAACTAAAGCCATTTAGCTGACATTATCTGGAAGTAGTGTTTGTATTTAAACCTAGTCATGAGAGCAGTAGATAGTGTGATCAAATGGAAAACTTGGAGTAAGAGCTGATGCTTTGCACTGTGTGCTACGAAGAGCCTATAAAAATGAATGGACTTACATATGTCCACACTAGCACAGCCTGCTCTGTGATAATGTTTACTTTTCAAATTAGTTTCCAAGCCTTAGCCTCAAGGGTTGGTACATCTCACACCTCATGCATGAAATGCAGCAGCTGTCACATCCATCCTTTTATAAATCCCAGGATTTAAAATAAACTTTAAATGATAAACCTCAGAGTAGATAAATAAGCAAATAGACAAAATCACCCCAAGACCCATCTTCTAAAATTTTTATTTTCAAACCCAATCTCAAAATTTTCTGGGAAAAGATTTGTGACTTTGACTGTGCCAGGTTAACAGCTCTACCTACCATGACTGAGGCTGGCAAAACAGGGTACTGACAGGCATCTGTGGTAATATGTGAGTTAGTCAAGGCAGGGACTGACAGCCCATGATTGCTTAGGGATTATTATAATACAGACAGTACTGCAATTTTAACACCCATGTCTAATTCTCCACCAGGCTTTTACATTGGAATTGCAGCATTTATTTTACACTAGTTTATACAACTGCCAGTGTGCAAAGCAAGGACAAATCAAGTCCTCGGCTACAAAACAACAGCAAACCCTAAGCAATGTGTTTTCCACCACTGAATAAACTCAGACCCACAGTGATAGTTCTGGTCACGTCTGTGTTTCTCCTGAGAAGATGTTTCCATGCAGCTTTTCTCTCCAGCATTCAGCCAAAAGAATAATGAATGCTTTCACACTATGCACTATTGCAAAAGCTGAACATTATCAGTCTTATCCTAAAATTGTGAGACAGAATAATGGGAGATCCTGTTCTATATCTGAGTTTATGATTTGCAACCAGAGCAAAATGCAACTGTAATTCTCTCTCAGATGAAATGAGAAGAATAAGCAAATGAAACAAATTATGCATATCCCACTTACAAGACTTTATAGAACAAAATAAAAACCCCTTCTCTAACAGAATATCAACCTGAATACCAGCATAAACATATGGCTAAAAAACTCCATGACTAATATAAAAACATAGTTTAAAACTGATGCAGAACCATAACCATTGAAGTTACCTCATGTGATTTTTCCACTAACCCTAGAACAACTGAGATATAAAATGTACTAAGCAAGTCACAAAAGGGAAGTTACTGCATTTTAAACTGCTGTAAACTGGATTCTAGGTAAATAATCTGCCATGCTACAGACAAACTGTCTGCACTGGCTATCCTATCAGGGAAAGCAGTCCATGGCACAGGTTTTTACACAAGAAATACAGTTTCTCTGTGTTCACAGTAGCATCTCCTCCAATTCCTCTGCTGAAGTACAAATATTTTTAATGAAAATATAAATATATTTTCTGTTAATGTCTTGGCACCTACTCCAGCTCTTAACCCAGAGTTCACCAAGTGGCTGCAGTCCTAAGGGCTTTAGCATATTCTAATGAACCAGTAAGACAAAGAAACATTGCTCAGCTCTGCAAAAGACAGCTAACCTCTATCTTCAGATGACAGAAAAAAAATATATAAAGCACATACTACGTAACTGTGTATAACACCAGAATCTGTACAGAAAAAGAAGAAACAAGGGAAAACATTTCAATGAGATGCCAGAGGTTAGAGGCTTTAGCACTTCACACACACTTATGCAACTGAGACAGTGCTGACTGGGTATGCTACAGCCATGAATTTGTCCATCTAACTGACCCCAAACCAAGTACTGTGGCTGATCTTATTACTGGTACCAACAGATGTTTTTTAGAAAACTAAACCAGAATGTCTTATTGAACTAGCTGCAGAAAGGAAGACTTTGATACAATCACTTTGCAGTTCTAAGAAAAGGGGAAAAAAGGTAAAGCAGATGAGGAAAAATGCTAAACTCAGAGAAGGTGGAAGGAAGTTATTGGATAAGAGCTATTTGTAAGTTGTTACTGGATTTGGGAAGAAGTGGAACCCCGATCTTCATTCCAAAGAACTAAATTATAAGTCACGTTCAGCCGGAACGTAATTTGAGTGGCATTTGATAAAAAATGCTTTAAGAAATATATAATATGTGCAAACTAAAATCACTCTGTTTAAAATATATGTAAAGGCACCATAATAGAAACAGAAAATCAAGAACAAAGGACCAGCCATCAATGATAACCATCAACATAATATGGTTCTGCAAAAGGAACATTTATTTTAAGAAGAAATGTCATATTCTCTCAAACATTTCAGTCAGGGAAACTTTTAAGTAACCTATAAAACTTACTACACCACCAGGTTCATTTCCAAGATAAAAACTGGTCTGTAAAATAATATCTACATTGGGTTAATATATTAAATAAATTATGTCTAAAATATATCTGTCTTGATTTATTGTGTGAAATGGACTTTGCTATTGCTATATCAAAGAACAATTTTAGGTGAAAAGGGGTTGATATATCCTAACGATATGCAATAGACTGTGATGTGTTTTTTGACACAGGGAGGAGAAGCAGTGTTAGTCTTCACTCAGCTTCTGAAAGCCTGTTTAAATGGAAAAAGAATACTCAATGTTTATCACTGTGAATAACCAAAGACAAAATGAAAAAAAAAAAAAAAAGAGATGAAAAAATATGCTCATTTATAGGGGAAGGTAGTGTTTGAATGATATACGTATCTTCCCTTAGTCCATATTTTGAGTAGGAAATGAAATTCATTCACTTACCATTAAAATCATTTAAGATAATACACCTACCCCAGTGGGAAATGACTGAAGACTCAGAATACATGGGTAATCAGTTAAGTTAAAAGCAAAACACTCAGATGTGTGTTGGAGATTATGCAACTACATATATAAGGAAAACAGTGAAAAAGCAGCTGTTTTAAGTGAAACAAGGTATTTTAATCCACCAAAATAGCAAACACATGTTGACCAGAGATTTCTGCATCACGTTACATCAGCAGGAGTGGCTATGAGAAAGTTTCAGTTTTCCTCACAATTCCAGTCAGACTGAAAAAAAATAATTAATAACCACAACACACACACACACACACACACACACACCCTTGCTGCACTATTGACTGACTTTCTGCCTATGCTAAAGCAAGCATTATTTTCAGCTAAAGGACTGAGTTTTAGCTGACAACTTCACCTCTGAATAGCTGCACAAACCTCCACACAACAGAACTGGGGACTAATGAGATGGGAAATGCTGTTTGGCTTGAACTACTACGCTAAGAATGGGACAGTCAAGCTGAAGAAAAGTCTAAGTCGCTAGCTGTAAGGGTGAACAGCTTCTTGTAAGGGGTTGCAATCCTTCTCTTCTTACACTAAACTAAATAGAATGTTAAAAAAACATTGTAAACTGCCTCCATTTTCCAAGGGCAATATTTTGAATCAAGTTATACTTCAAGACACACTGCAGCTAAAAGGCAGAACACACCAGCTTTGTTTCTAAGTGAAAAGAAGACATCCAGAATAAACATGGGGGGTTTCCAGAAGTATATATCTACTCTCTTTTTGACAATAGAATCTCAAAAGTTCATAATGGCATATTAACCCATGATAAAGAGAAATCTTGTTTACATTTTAAAGCCCAGATGAATATTTTCTCAAACTGCTCAGACACACCCACACTTCACTCCATGCAGAAGTTTGACTGAAATGTGTGTGCCTTCTGTCATAGATTAAGCTAAGCATACCCATGTAATAACATGTAGAACTGGAGCTTGACATCTCTATTACTAAATTTCAGGAAGCATCCATTATTCTGAGCATAACTTCTGTGATCCATGCTTAATCTTACACACTTCCTCTAAAACCTGTGAAACTTCCAGCTTTCCCTGACATCTGCATGTGTCTTTTGCGAGAGACAGGACTAATGAAAAAAACATGCTCTCACTGCCTATTTTCAAATCTCCCTTTCAGCCTTTACTTTAGACCACCACACATGGGGTTTTATCATATTTAATCTACATTAACTCTTACTTTTCTTCCAGAAAGCTGGAGTTTTTATATCTTGCTAAGCGCAGGTATAAATACTGACTTTAGCAAAAGATAGAACCCATTCTGAGAGACCCTTGAGGACACTGCAACAGTTCTCAGTCACCTCTTGAAGACAAAATGAACCAAAGATCAAAGAAGACATCTCTCCACAGGCTCAGCAGAGGAGGACTTACCTGTCTGTTGTGTTCTTTTGGGGTAAGTCTTGCTGCGACTTCTTTCAATGCACAGGTCAGGCCGTGGAAGCTGCACAGAAGGGTCTCTGGTCATTCGTAAAGATGTTTTGCCACTTGAAAACACAATAAAATAATGAGAAAACACTTGGAAAAGTTATCAAAAACAGAGGATCCTTATGTTGGAAAAAGCTGCATGGGGTTTGGGCAGCATGTTTGTTCGCTATTCATTTCTCATCCCAGCTCTGGTTCTCCTACTGTATAGCCCTACCCTGAATTCTGTTTTGAATCAGACATTGGCAAAATCATCAACAGATTGTGCCAACCTCTTCTATATTTGGCATTTTCAAGAGGAGGTAAGCCACTAAAACCTGGTTTCTTAGGAATAGGTTAAGATAGCATGACCTTTTATAACCTCGAGTATTCTAATATATGACTTTCTTAAGTAATTTGATTTGTTCCTGAATTCTTTCTGTAAGTTTTCGTTTCTCTACATATTAGTATTGTTCAGTTCCAGTCAATAAGGGGCTCCTTCTCTGCCATATGGAATTACAACCTAAAAGACTACAAAACCCACTATAATAAAGGACTCTTGCTAGACCCAAATGATAATAAATTGAGTAGAAGTCCTGATTCCCATTTGGAGTGAGGCTCTTCTTCATTGCACAATTCAAATAAGTTATTAAGTTTGAATAAATTATTTTATGCTCATTTTAATGTTCCTCTCTGTGTGACTAAGCAAAACACAGTGTTCATAACAAAAATCTAGAACAGGCTTCATATTCTTCCCCAAAACTCTCGGTTTGTTTCTAAAAGCTTACTACACAGGAGAATTGTTACTATTAACTCCCACTTATTTAAATGCCTACAGCTTGATGGCTTCGAGGTAAAAGGTACTGTATTAGAAAGTACTAAGCAATAATACAGGCATTACATATGTAGGTTTTCTGAATTTTGTGAATGAACTCCACTAAATACTGATCGTATTTTCACCAATAGCCCTACACAGGTAGTCAGCACTGCAGAATTTTTATTTTCTCAAAATTGTAAAAGAATTAAAGGACAAAATACTCCCAATTCTAACACTACCAGAAAGCACATGAAAATTCTATTACTGCTGCAGTGAATTTCAAGATGAGTTTTTGTCAGTCACAAATTGATTATCACCATTTATCATTAACAACCTGCATTTACTAAAACATTCACTCTGGTCAGGGAGGCTCCACAAGAATCACTGCAACAATACAGGGAAGATTTCATACTAGAAGGGAAATATTTTAATATTTTCTAGATAGAACTAATATTATAAACATAGTTGTCAGTAATGATCATCATCTCAACATGACAAGCCATATCACAGATCACCCTTGAAACTTACTATAAAAGGAAGATGGACTTAAGTGCACCACCAGCAGCAATACCTCACAAACATAGTTAACTGCTTTATGGCAAGTTTTTTTAATTGATTGGGAAGTTCTTGTCAGTACTAAGCTCTTTCCTGCCCAGCACCAGTGCCCTGCTCCAGTCTACTGAAATGGTCCAACAGAGAAAACTCTTACCTGCAGTACTTTGGCAAGAATCCAGTGAACTCTTACCCACTATTACAGATGGGGTAATGCAGGTCAGGATCTAGCCAGAAACCCAAAAGGCAATACTATCATTCCCCAGTTATCTACAGTAAGGAAAAGCTGGATCATACCAGATAACCCAAATTAGCTGGATTATGAAATACATTGGAGAAGATGGGACATGAGCTCAGACTCAGAACTAGCATAGTCATCTCTCCATGAGCAGCACCTTCCTTGCAAGCAAGACATTGCATCCAAGAGTAACAGTTGGCTATGAATTCTGACTGGCAGAGGACAAGTGTAAATGAGCTAATATTATACAAACCTATTCATACCTACCACAGATACTAACTGCAATTCAGGAGCTGCTAGAGAAATTGAGGGTTATGGTTTTCTTGTTTTCAGACATGTCTTCCTAAGAAAGAGTGACAAAAATTTGCCTAAATGATGATTATCAACCTTACTCATTATGATCCATGTATTTCTTGAGTGATGGTGGAAACAGTGGTCCCTGTACACCCTTAGTCTGAATTGTACAGCATCTTTCAAGGCTTATAGCCTTGAACATTTTTCCAATTTTGCCACCTATTCCAGTCAGAAAAGATACACCTTCATTTTGTTATTCTCCAGTTGTCAGGAAAACCCCTTTAGAACATAAACATAACTTTAGAACTTATAAGGAGATACTGATTTAAAGCATTGCCAAGGCTGCTCTCACTTTGACTATGGGCTACAGCAGACCCTAACCAACTCTGGGAATCAGGAGAATGATTCTCATGGAGAGTCTGTTAAAATGACCCTGAGTCATGCTTTGTCTTCAGAACTGCTCTGGGTCATAGTCTGAGTGAGGCTTTTCTTTCATTGGAAGAAAAGAAGAGAAAAGAAGGAATGAAGAAGGAATGAATGGAAATTTAAACAGTGAAATAAATTCATCCATACCGATGTTTATAACCTATGGATCCAAACTTGCTGACTTTTCTTGAAAGAGAGTTTGATTCATTCTCTGGCACTCTGTGTAGTTTGAAAAATAAAACAATAGTTACACAGGTAGGTGTCAATTACAGTCCCCTTACCAAGTCAAGAAAAGAGAAAGACAAACTTTAGGCTCAAAAATTATTTCTTTTTTTCTAGTTCTTCTTCATCCCTACCTCTCCCAAAGTCACCTGTTTATCTCATCCTCTTTTGACTGCATACCTCTTTATTTCAGGGTCAAGTATAAACTGCTGGCACCAGCAACCTTTCACTTAATATTTCACAGGCACAAGCAAACCCACCATGCCACACTAGTGAGACTGCAGGAGGGATTCTGAGTTTACTCATTTACAGCACTGTTAAAGTCAACCCCAAGCATACCATCAATCAGCTTCTAACTAGACACCCTTGCACATTTCTCTTGGTGTTCTTTGCAACAGTAAAGCAAAGTGCTTTGAGATGTGCAACACAGGAAAGATATTATATGCTTCAATAAGCAAGCAACATTTTATGGGAATTGAATGAGTTTCTGTCAAAAAATAAACCCAAACAACAAAATTTGGAGGAAATAGTAATGTCTGAAATCCAAAGGCCTCACTCAAGCCAGTGCTGCAACACAAAATTCAATGGTTAAGTAAGTAAAAATCTGTATGGCAGCCTAAATCCTGCCATATACACTTGTAGATACTTCCGTTAAAGTTTCCTTTATGCAACCTCAAGTACTCTTTCGAAAGAATGCTGAGACAAAAGAAACAATTTTAAAATCATTGTTTCACATTATTTTAAGTAAAGGGGAGGTGTCAGCTTTTAAGAGCATTCTATAACCAGAATCCAAAATGTGTTTCCAGATAGCAAGTCTATGTTACACCAGTCTGTAGGTACAAAACAGTTCCTACTCAGTATAGTGACCCTAACGAAACCACAACTTCTGCATCACTCACCTGAAAAATGTATGATGTTCTACACAGCATTTCCAGAGATGTTTGCATGTGACCTTGTTACGTGCTTCAAAAAAGAAGGAAGTTTCATTGCACTGAAAAAAAAACCCAAAACAAATCAATGCTCTTATGAGGGATCCTGCCAGTAAAGTGAATCTCATTTGCTGAACACAAGAACTAACCATCTCATATCAATCTACATAAGAAAATAAACCAGTATGAAGAAAAGCAGGTTCTATAATTCTGTAGAATTCTTCATTTAAAAGAGGTTTTCTTTTTGAAAAACAGAAGAAAAAGGAGATTATTGAAACACTTACGTTCCTTCAATCGCATTCACAGACAACAGCTTTTTTCCTAATTAAAATACACCTTTTTTTTCCCAAATATTATATGTCTGATGTTTTCCAAAACTGCAGCTCATGTGTCAATCAAAAATATTCTGTGTACTGGTATATGAGAAGGCAAGAATAAGTGAAAAGTAGAAAGAAACTCAGGATTTGCAATAAACTAATATAGAGCAACAACACAGAAAACACACAAAACATTCATGTGGAGAAGAACAGAGGTAAACCTGGGGTGGGAGGGGGTGGGATGAGAAGAGATGAAGGGAAACTTTGTTTATAAAAAAAGCTAACTTCAGAATAATTCAAATTACTAGGAAAAATGTGAAAACCATAAAATACACCTTAAAATCTCTTAGGGAAGACAACACAAAAAAGAATATTCCAAGCTTAAAATCTAATCTCTGGAAACTGGACAAGAAAAGACAGTCAGACACATACAAACTACAAACTATTTTCAACAGACAAGACAAAGCAACCTCACACTGCCTGTTTTGAACAAGCTGAACATTCAAATATGTTCACAAAAGATACACTTCAATGTATTTGTCACCCAGTAAACTTAAGTGCACAGTTTCGTATCTGTGATTTGAACAAAGAATGAGTAGTCCCACTGACTGGTGTAAAACAGCATGGTATGACACTGTAACAAAACTGAGTCCTAACACCATTCCACCTATATGGGAATTAGAAAACGGGTATGATTCATATCACTCTTAGCAACTGATTTAGGAAATCAATGCCCTTGTGTAAGTTATACTTCTGCAGTGCTATGCATATGTAAATAAAGCATTCTGGCATGTTTCTCCCACTCCACATTTAATGAGATATGGTGATCTGCAAGCACCATGCAAACTGTGAACTAGTTCAATATGTTCTCTAGAATTCAAAATTTTACCTAGAAGAATAAAACAACTACATCTCTATTAACAGCTGTCAGGCAGCCTCACAAAAATCACAAGTTACCTGCCTGAGCAGGCTTTTTCCTCCTCCTCAAAACAAGTAACAGTAAAAACAACAGAACTCTGCACCTGTAGTTAGAATAATTTAATCCCCTGACAAAACAAAAACAACAACATACACATGACTGGCTGGAACACTCCCATGGAATAGCCAAGGAATGAAAATCATACACTGGTCTTCCCTCAAAAGCACATTTTCCTCTCTAGGGTATCACATAAAGAATAAGGAGTACAGACAGTACAGTAAGACAAATGACACTGAGAATGCTGAAACCCAGGATTCATCTGATACTGCTATATAGGCAACATATAATGATTCTGCAGTAGATTAGTCCCATAAATATATTTCTACCATTCCTTAAAATACAGTTTAAGGTTTGATAAGGATCTTCATCTCTTTGCAGGATTCACACGGAGCAAAAATAAGTTTAATTTATAAAAACTAAAACCAGAATCTTAAAAACTGAGCTCTTCTCAAACAAAAAAAAAATTATAACTAACTGGGGTAAAAGGTGGGAAAAAAAAGGCTTCCTGGAAAATCAAAAATTGTTGAGGAGAAAAATCAATTTATATTGGAATTTTCAAGAGTAACCATATTGCTCTTACTCCTCTGACAACCAGAAAAAAGAGTCTACCCATTGAAAGATCATACTGCATTTTTACCTTTTTAAACTTGTAAAGAAGGCATGTCAAGAGGTACTTTTCATTTGCTTATTTTACACTTAGTAGAAATGTACCTTCAGATTTCAATATTTGATTTGCATTTCAATTTTTCTATCAGACTGTCACTTGATGTGATTTCATATAAACCCTCACAACTATAGTCACCTTTTAAAGAATAATATCAAATCAGGCCTGTAGTATTGCAAGTTTCATGTAATATGATGAGTCAGTTTAACTTCTGTCAGGAAAAAACCTCAGTGACTCACTTTAAATATGCAGGATCTTGCTTCTTTTTCCACTCCTAAGTTCTACTTTTAGGCAAAGAATCCTCTGCTGCACTTAAGTTTATTAATTACATAATCTCAGAGGAGAGGGTTTCTGGGGTGTGGGAAGGGAGGGGCAGAGAGAAGACAAGGGTGACTTTTTCTTTTCAAAGAGACTTTGAAAACTAAGTTATTTCTGCCATGTCATACTATTAAACCAGTTTGCATGCCACTGACATTGAGTTAGATTCCCATCAGGTAAAAGGTTCTGCTTGTCCATTTTCTTCTTTTATAAGTTAAAGCTCTAGAACTTTCCCATACACAAAACAAACAGCACATAAAATATGTAAATCTCTAACTATAACAGAACAGCTACACTGACATATGGTCAAAAGATCTGACCAGCAGACATTACTGATTCCATCATTTGAAGGCATTATATCCTAAGATGGAAGAAAGTTCATCCTAGTCAGTCAGAAAAAATTATGATGCTGCTGAAATATCTGCATTTAGTATTCTGCAATTGAAGGCCATCAGGGGAAAACAAAAAGTAAGCACAACCCTACAGAGTCAATTTATCAAAAAGTTATGGAATTCAGATCACCCAGGTTTTTACTTGTAGTCACTCCAATAGCACAATTAAATTTCACTAAAGAGAGAGAAAGGAAGCATAAAACACTCATCTCTAAGGCCAACACAGAGGAGACAAATCCATAATTCTTTCACCATTTCTCCCCTTATCTATGAAGACTCAGTAATTTATTGCAACTAAGTCCAAAATGACCATGCACACAGCACATTTAGGTTTAGGACTTCCTCCATTTACTTTGCAAGACTATTTAAGGCCTGCAAGAGTACTGTGATTACCCTCACAGTTTATAAATGCACATATAAAAATTAAGCATTTCTGCAGAGTAATATCTTTCAGGTGTAACCTTTCTCCCTGAAGGGAATTAATTAATTTGGATATGAAAAGCAAGTATGACCTTGCCTGTTAAGACTGTGAACTTTTTTTTTTCCAATAAACGGCAGTATTTTTAGCATTTTGAATGTTGTAATTTCCTACACAAAGTGTGAGTAAACTGTGTTTTTTATTTGTTATTCTCATGTATCTGAACCAAAAGAAACAAAGACCTATTGTACTTTTACTAATGATTTATAGGAAATTACAATTCCATACCCATTTAGTGATGCTTGGTGCCTCACAACCTTCTGACAGCTACTCATCCTGTTTCTTTCAAAGTGCCCAGTGTGCTCAAGGTAAGGCATTGTAAACCATGAAGGTTCACTGCTTCCAGAGTGGTCCTAGTTGTCTACACACTATGAAGATCTTCTCTCTCATTTCAGCCATCTCGGTGTTTCTCTTTCAGGAAGCCCCATTGTGCCCATCAAACAAGTAGAAAAACACTTATTTTTGTATGGTGGTTTTTGGTAACATCTGTGACTTGAATGAGCAAGGGAGAGGACAGGACAATGGGACCAGAGGCTGCAAAAGGACAAGTAAAACCCTTGCAGCAGCATCCAGTTGTGGAACTGTTTTACTACCTTCCTCTAATCCTGAAAAAGGCACACATCCAAAAAAATGTGAGGAGAAACATAAAATACTCCTCTCCTTTTAGACGATCTACAAACTTGTCCTGCAGTCTCCAAAAAATGCCAAACTTACTGCCATAGTGTCACCATCATTTTTACCCATAGGGGGAGAGTTAAACTACCACAGATGATGCAGGTAGCTTGACTACACTACGAACATATATTTAGATTGAAATTCAAACTTGTAGCCACAGCCCTTCTGTGTTTTACGCTGCCTTTTAAAAAGTACCCTGATGACTGATGCAGCAGTCCCTTTAAGATCTCCACTAAAGATCTGGCAATTGGTACAGCACTACACCATAATGCCCCCACCCCTTAACTGAAAGACTGAAAGCATGTTAGCAATGCCTTCAAAGAAGACAAGTCAGAGGGGTCATTGCTCTGCCTAACCACAAGATGCCTCTGGCACTGCTGGAGCTATCATACTAGCTCAGGAGTGCCCACACTGAGCTTTGCAAACAGCTCCCAGCTTGCTTTGCCACGCCAGTCTGATTACACAGCTTTCAAGCTCAGAGCTGTTTTGTGCCCTAGCTCAGTTCTCAGGTAGGACAAGCTTAAGTCCACATGAAAAAAAAGACACACACTTAAAATGACATTTCTTCCCTCTGGGGCCCAGAAGATCCCCTGTTCATGAAGTTCATGGATTACTGCAGATACAAGAGGCCTGCTGTCAGTAGACCTACACCCATTCCAGGGAGCACTGCAAGCATCCACAGATCCAAAATTATTTGAAAAGCTATGATTCAGAGCAGGTTTTAGCAGGTATAATTTACGGCAAGGCATACATGGATTCCCACCAATCCAGGCTCAGAAAACGAAGATGAAAACACTGAAACCATGTTAGGAACCCTGGCAGCACACACACCACTCTTCAGAGTCACACTGACTACTAACATAACATAAAGAGTATCTTGCCTCATTACAGAACACACTGTGTACATGTACTACACATGCATGTACATGTAACAGAGATATTTATACTAGCTCTGTAGCTACTTTACAACTCTGCCAGGTTAGGAACATACCTGCATACTATCAATTATTAATTCCAATAGGAAATTCTCTGTCTTTATATATTTACACAATGCATACCAATCATAGCTTATGTAACAGACAAGGTACTGTTACTGGTTACACAAGGTCAATCTTAAAGAATATTATACCAAGTCGGGAATTAAAATTACTAAAGCTGTGCCAGTTTGCATAAAACCTGTCAAGGTTGAAACAAACATATCTCAGCTGTGTATTACACCAATTAAAAGATACTTTTAAAACAGAGCTGACACTAACACCTTAGTGACAGTGAATTTAAGTTTATGCAGGCCTTCAACCAATCTTACAGTCCTTTGAAGATGGCTCAGAAAGTGGTTAAGGAAAGACAGGAGAACCCCGAATCAACCAAAACAAGCCAAAACATTTACGTGACATATTAATACTACTGTGCTTGCTCACCTCCACCCTCCACTACTATTTTAATTTAAGTGGATGCAAATGCAAATGATGCAAAAGTAATTTGCAATTCTTAAACCGTAAGAAAGACCAAAATATTATTTTCATCTGGAACTCGTATGTAAGATAAATTGAAATTAAGACTGGGAGGAACTCTCTTCAAACCCTGTTCAATATTCCCAAGAAACTGCAGAGGCAATAAATTAAATTAAAACTTCCAGCCTAGAACTTGTAACTCAAGATGAAATATAGCATTTGATAGAAAAAGAAGGGGTACAGCACAACCACCTTATTATTGTAACTATTTTTAAGACTTCTGACACTTGGTGAAAAGCAGATTTAAAAAATAAAGCATATTTACAGGGTTTCCTGAGACTATTTGAAAGAACACAAAAATGTTGCATTTACACAAGTTTCAGCCACCAAAATGGGGGGTATTATGTGTTTTGGATTTGCCCTGAAGTTCCTCTAGCATGCGTCAGTGGGTGGTATTGTTCCTGAATAGTCTTTACCAATTTCACCTTATGAACTCAGCTGAGGCAGGCCTATTCATCTTAACACAGAAGACTGCAGACAAAGGCATGTCTTGCAAATGTGTAAATCATTTTTAACTGCACAGTTTGGGAGGTTGTTCTACCTTGAAAGTACCAAAATTTCAAAATCTCTTGAAAGTAAAATCTCAGAATTAAAAAAGACCCTTCTCTTACAATAAAAATGATGAAAAAAAGTGTTTTGCACATGGACCGCTTTCTGGTTTGGTGAAACAGAAACATGAAAAGTAAGAAGTACACAGAAGCTTTGCACTAACTCTTGAAGGAGTGAAATCATTCACATGCATGTTCAGACACAGTGCAACTGAAGTACAAGGTGCAGCTACAGAAAACAGCATGAGATTGCAGGAAATGGCACAAAAGTACTTGGTACTTACAGGCAAAAAAAGCTCCACATCTCTCCTGTGTATTGTTACATTTACATTCCCAGCCTACACAATCTAGCAATGCATGTTTTCCACTGTTTGTTTGATAGGAAGCAAGCCATGCTCCTCATGCATGGAAAGCACAGGAGGTGTGCTGTGCACCCCCTGGACTACTCACTTCCACATAGTGCATCCATTGTGATCAGGCTCTGTTTCGCTGGTGGAGAGGGGAGGGCTTTGGCAGCCACCTGTATTACTGGATCATTTCCAGCAAGGTTGCTCAACAGACATCTATCCTACCAGGAACTGTGCACAGGCATCTGATGGATTTAAGTTTTCTTAAAGGAAACTGCATGAAAATACAATTTTCTTGTCTTCAAAAATTCTTTGCAAATGTTTGTTATGTTTGGGCAATCTTCTGTGCATTCCGTGCAGGGGAAGGATTCTTATTTTCATGCTGATACTTAGAAGCGCCACAGAAAACCTAACATGTTTATAGCACAGAATTCACAGCATGGGAAAAAAATCAGGGGACTATACTGATTCAATGATTAACACCACTGAAACAGAGTTTCAGACTCGCGTGCCAGGATAGCTCATAGACTTATTTAAGGCAGCATTTTGTTTATGAAGGGCCAATAGCAATAGCCTTAGGGAGAAAATATAATAAAAGCAAAATAGTGAAAGATAAAACCAAAATACTGATGGTCATGTTTGTGCACAATAGCAACAGATATGTAGGAAAAAATGATTAACACCACTGAAACAGAGTTTCAGACTCGCGTGCCAGGATAGCTCATAGACTTATTTAAGGCAGCATTTTGTTTATGAAGGGCCAATAGCAATAGCCTTAGGGAGAAAATATAATAAAAGCAAAATAGTGAAAGATAAAACCAAAATACTGATGGTCATGTTTGTGCACAATAGCAACAGATATGTAGGAAAAAATATAAGGAAGCTAAATGCACAAGAATTGTTCTCATGGAAGAGATATGAAGAAGTACAAGAGATCACAGTACAAAACAGAAGACATGAAGCACTTTATTATAATACACTAAGCATTAATATCTTCTGCTCAGTAAACAACAAATTTGTGAAAAGTGAAGCCTCATAAGCAACAAAATGAACAGCCATAACAACAGCTGACATAGACACCCCACAGTGTGTTTTGCTGTGTAGCCTAAAGACATGGACTTGTGCATTTAGACTTCCATGTCTGCTGTCCATCAAGAGGATTGGGATGTCCATTTCCACACCTTTATTGGAAAGTACAATTTTAGATTCTTCTTGAAAGTTTGAAAAAATGTCAAACAAATATCAGAAAGAGAAAATAAAGAACTTGCCACAAGTAAACCCATCCAGGAAAAGAGCAACACTTCACTGGCACTAAAGGTATCAACAGCTTCCTCTTGATGAGCAGGCAAACCCATGGAAGGTGCCCATCAGAGTGAATAAAGGTAGCTACTGTGCGTGAAAACATGAACCAAAATCCAGCGTGCACAGTTTTCACTACCATATGGAAAACATGATTCACACAAAGCATTCAGTTCACTCAGAAATAATCTGCTCCACTACATGATGTCAGTTCCCATTATTTCTATTCTTCCTGAATACTTTCTGGAGTTCTCTCCAACTAAGTGGAAACATGTAAAACATTACAGACTTGGTATACCACATCTGAAACAAGGAAAGTATTAATTCTCTGCACTGTAAAGTGATAGCCTAGGAGGTAGGACAGAGTAAAAATGACATACTTACTCTCCTATCATCTACTCATTCCCACATTGAAGGACAAAGTGATAGCATTTACCCCAAAAAAAACAGAGGGATAAAATAAATTTGTTAATTAATTTTTGAGGAGTATGGGAACATACATTCATATACATATATATATGTGTGTATATATAAATATTTTGTGTGTGTGTACACACACACACACGCGCACACGCGCACTGGTAAGCTTTTCCTCCTCTGGGTGCAGAACAGCATAAATTGTTATGACAGCTTTAATCCAGAAACTAGGGCTACTGTTTACTTATTCCAATGTATTTTGTTCAAAGTAACACCACTGAACTGTTTAAAAAAAAAAAAAAAAAAAAAAAACGCCAAAAAGACTGTGCCGTTCTGGCCTTTCTTGATCTTGTTAGGATATGAAGCACTATAGAAACACTTCAAATTAGTATTAGTTGCAAAGGAGAATTTAATGATGGTACACACCCTTGTACTTACCCTTCTCTTGAACAATTTCCTAGAAGTACCTGTCGAGGCTTGAACTACCAAGCTCTGTCAAAATGTTTTTGCCTTATGATCACAATAGTAAGTGTTCACCAGCCATCCACATTCAAAGTCTCAACCACACTTTCCAAAGCTTTCAGGTTTTCTGCTCAGCATGTTAAAACTTTACAATTCCATGTGGTTCAGACAAAAACTATACAGACATGACATCAAACAGAAACTACAGCTTCACTTCCAAGCAGTTCACTCTAAGTCAAACTCAAACTTGTTTCTACATGAACAGTCATTTACCCTTTACACAAAACTTTGTGAAAAGCTTTCCAAACCTTCCTCCAGTCTTCAAACAACTCTTCTATTTGAACAAACACATCATCTGAAATAAACTTCCCAGAGATTACCACACCAAATAGAAACAAACCACTTGGGAATAACAATAGCAAAATTTGCTAATACATCTGTGGAGACACAAGAAACACTGACCATGACAGAAGCAAGACAACCAGTCAGGGGTATATTTACATTTCCCTGAATGTACTGGACATACCAAATGGCCTCACAGAAAAATCATGGACAAGACACCACTACATACATGAAAGGAGACACATAGATAAACAGTAAATAGAATTACTGCCAGCAGGTTAATACAACTTAAAACTATAAACTTTCAGTCCTGATATTCCAAAGAGACCTACGAAATGTTTTCAAAAAATAACTCTGCAAACTAAACTTTTAACTAAACCAGATACCAAAAATCACAGAGTGACTGCAATTTTTTGTTTTATTACACTTTATTATGTATCCTACATCCTCAACACTCTCCGCCTCTCCCTACACCATATGCTTCATAGGTGATAAGTATCTTTCTCTTTTTCCACTGACTCTATGTTAAAACTTATTCTCTTGCTATGAACCTGCTATCCTTGCTCCACTGGAATCAACACTGCTTTCTCTCAAATGGTCTAAGAGCATAATGAAGCTAAACTCTGACAAATGAGTTTTGAGCTATATTACATGGCTGCTTGTTTCCAAGCTACAAAATTACTTGTGCCTAACAGCTTTGTGAGTTTTCTTTTGTCCATATGTTGTTTAATATTAGCTTTCCCTGTAGATTTACTCTAGTTTCAAAGTACTACATAACACCGTAAACAAGACATTGCAGAAGTAGTCTGATGTACAGAGCACAAAGTAAAATGATAAAAATTCATTATAAAATTCATATTTCAGTACTGTTCTGCTGAAGTTCTCTCCCCTTGCTACAAAGTGTAGACAGAAACCTTTCCTTTCCTCTCTTTCTTTAATAAAACTGCAACCAGTTTCAGGAGCATTCAAGGCCAGGCTCGATGGGGCCTTGAGCAACACAGTCTTATGAAAGGTGTCCCTACCTACAGAAGGGATTGGAATGAGATGATCTTTGAGATCCCTCCCAACCCAAACCATCCTATGATTCTAGGATGCTGCACTTATAGATAATGTAATTTTCTTGCAGTAAGTATCAATAAAGTTAATTTCACTTTGATGGCTTCTTACAGTAAATTTCAATAAAATAAAATAGACTTTGATGGAGAACAAAATCTCAAGTTCATTAGACCTGAGATTACTTTTTTTATCCTTTCAGGCTTAAATAAAAACTTACATCTTTTCCCAGGACTCTCAGTTCAAACTGTGTTTCCTTGAAGTGAACTTTTGTAATCCTAGGCCTGTAATATTGAGAAAAAAAGACAAACAGTACTTCATGAGCCTCTAATTTCATGCATAATAAAATAAACACTTGTATATATTTACACAAAAAGAAAATAAATTCACAGGTAGATTTAGTTTTCAGGTATGCACCAGATATCAGGATAAAATTAGCATTGTGTAAACATTTCAGCATGAGTATGGTAAAGGTGATCTAATGTTTTCAGTACCTGGATTGCCAAAGAGTTTAAAATCTACATAATCCAGAGAAATATTAAGAATTCAGGTATATTTTAAAAATATTGCTATAGTTAACCTTTCCAATAATTATCACAAATCATACATTTCCAAAGAACATTGTTATTGTTTTAGCATAGACTGCACATTTAAATAATACATACCAGAAATATTTTCCTACTTGTTTTTTATTCTTGTAGACAACAACTCCTATGGGTGTCAATCCTAAAAAGTATTCAGATTTGTTTTCACCCTAGAAAATAAAAATGTACATCATTCATACAATTGCATGTATCACAGCAGGAGTGAGCTCCAGTGACGAAATCATTTGGATGACTTGAACATACTGGTTCACTCTCTGTGCAAATGGGAAAATGGTACTTGATCTACTGATCTCCTATATGAGAATTTGTAGGCATGGAGGCAAAGAGGCAAGAATGAATGTCAGTGAGGGAAAGAATGAGAGTTTCCACATGCCACAGTGAAAACAAAAATAACTTTTCTACAGAATTACTTTGGGCTATTTGGCAATTGGCCATAACTCAGAAACTCCACTCTATTCAGGCAGGACTGAAACAGATATCCTAACTTTCAGCTTGAGGTAAATAGTGAGTTTCTGACCTATTCTACTCTAATGTAACTCACAACTGCCTTCTCCCTTCTAAAATAGTGTCAGCTGCACACTGCTATCAAGTGAAGTCAAGCAGGTTTTTAGTTCAGAATAGGCAATGGCATGCAAGGAACAACACCACACATCATGTCCTCCAAAGGATGGAGTCAGTATAGAAATCTCAAAATGAATTGGGAGAGAACAGGGTGAAAGTCCTAATGCTGAGTGGCAGAAGGCCCCCATCTCCCCAATTTACAGTCACTAACCAAAATCATAAGCACCTTCCACTTGAAAGAGTACAAACCCTAGTGCACAAGGTTAAAAGAAAGCCAACTGAAAAAGCTCATTCATTTGCCCAGTTGAGACAATGAGGAGGAGCCTTGCAAGCTCTAAAATGTTAGAGCATGAATAGCAAAAAATAACTGACAGACTGACTAAAAAATGTCCTTCTGTGTGATTACAGGGACTAAGAGAAGTCAAGTACACCTGGCAAGCTCTGCCTGTGCTCCTCAATGAATTAAGCACTAAAAGCAACTTTAGTTTTATTATGACCCAGCAAGGAAAAGAATTACATCTCTTCATGTGTGCAGCTTCAGTATCAAAGGACGGTTTCTGCTGCTGTTGTAATATAAGTAGGAACAATGATGTGCACAGGTTAGACTTGGGCATATTTCAACTCAGTCCTTATTACCCCAACAGGGATCTCATTGCACACCAAAAGCAAGCAGTGAGAAAAAAAATACAGGTCCAGGCTCTGCTAATTTAACATGATTTTGTTGGATCATGTTGAATCTTGTTCCAGTAACTCCCCCAGCTTTCTGTGGGTGGGAGGGGCACAGAACACAGAATATGAATACAATTAAGCAACACGGTGCTTTAAAAAATACTTTTTCTTGCAGGCTACACAAT